CTCATTTTCAAATGGTTCCTAAAGAATCTTAAAGAACTTCTTATTAACCTTTCGTCCTCGTTAGTCCTACAGTTCTTTTGCCCCACTTCAGAAATTACAATGTTAAAGCTCTTCACAAAATACACTCGGGTTCTTCTTTCATTCCCATTGATTTCCCTTCTCTAGTACACCGCACTGGCAACAAAAAACCAATCAAGAAGAACAAAGAGCGATGAGAAACAAAATAACAAGAATCAAAAGTTCACTCTTTTCAACAACAACAATAACATGAAGTGGAGGATTCCACTTTGCACTTGATTTGTTGTATAGCAGACGCTAGACATAAAAAAAATATTCAGCTTACCTGCAAAACAAAAAAGAAATTGGAAAAATGAAGACGAGCAAAAGTTGTTCAAAGAATTTTCCAGCTGCTCCACACACTAGAAAAAAAAATAAAATTATGTTTATTATAAATAATCTAAAATATTCAGTAATACGTCAAAAGGGTCTTTAAAATTATAAAGCTAAGTCAATGCAAGAAATGGTCACCAAAATAAAATAAAACTAATATAATATTTTTAGCGTATTTGTTATTTTGAACACTGATTAAAAGCCTGGATATTATTATTTTATCTATAGGTAATTTTAATAAAAATATCCTATTTCACTACTATATTTGCTACTTACTATTTTAATGGAAGATCCACTTCAATATCGATAATTATTTGTTTAATAGTTTCTTTACGGTGTATTATGATTTTAAACATTTTTGATCTTTGTTTTAAAATGTTGTAGTACCAACTTTTGGTTTATTTTTTCGAGTGCTGCCTCACAGCTGCTACTTACTATTTTTTCTTCATTTTGTTCGCCTTTGCTGAAAAAGTTCCAACTCTCTTTGTCCTTGTGCCTGTCAAAGTGTTGACCCATGTCGACGCCGCCGAAGATGATTTCCCCACCCAACTTTCGCCCACTCAGCATCTTGGTCGACGATCCCAAGGGAGCCTTCATTTTGAGGCTAAAAAAACTTTTATAATAGATTTCAAATTTCTCCGCCGCCGGATATTCTCTGGAGTAATCAAGCAAATTAGTGAGTTTCTCGGGAGAATCGCAGGCGTGGTCCAGGCACAATCCCTATGCCGAATTTTAAACACTCCCACTTTGCTCCCAGGACAATTTTGCGGTCGGCAAATTGTTGACAGCCGCTCCAGCATCAGGTCCTTCTGCTTTTCCTTCTGCTACGACAAATGAAGATAAATGCTAAGAAATTGTGGACCAGAACAAGGGCCCAAGTTTGCTTAAAATTTTAAAGAGTTAAATCTTCAATTTGTAACTGGATTTTCGTCTTGGTGTGCATTATTGACAAACAAATGCGATAGTCCTGTTAAGTCGATGGATCTCTTAGAAACTAAAACTTATTAGTATACCCTGTATTTATGGCATATAAGTACGACCTATTCTCAGTTATATTTATGGATACTTTTTCTCATTAAAAATATTTTTAAATTTTTTACATAAATTTTATTGCAATATTGAACTTTTTTATATCGTCAACGAAAATTAAAAATAGTTTATTGCTGCCATTTTCTTTTAAATAAATAAGTGAACTTAAAATCTTTTTTTAATATTTCATAAGGATTCTACTTGATGGGTATTTTAAAGGTCAAAACACCGCACTTTTTCTTGCTTGCCATTTTTATAGCATACTTTTAGTTGATGAAGATGAATTGCAGTTTGAACTTCGATAGCAACAAAGTTCAGTTCGCTTTTCTCTTTTATTCTGTGTAGGGTTTTTTATTGTTATTTTTGCTGGACTGAAAAGTTTTGTTTTTCGGTTAAAAAAGTTTCGAATAAAATTGTCGCAATTGCATGTTTTATTGGATCCTAAGCTGTGCATAGGTCATGCACCATGTGCACAGCGAAAAATAAAGTTATTGTAGCATCGATAAAAGGAATTTGAATCATAATTTTATATACGGGGTCATTTCAATGTTATTATTTAAAATGGTATATTTTTATTTAATTGATTTGTAACCTATAAATTGTGTAAAATAGTGTACAATTTAAAGAATAAATTATTACGGTACATTTATTGAGTGTAAAAAAAAGTTTATTTTTGGTGTAGTTTTTATAAAATTTTAGATTTTCCTCTAATTTTATACAGAAAATTACTCTAGTAATAAAATATCTGGAAAATATTTACTTTCTGCAGGAGACAGTGAGAAATGCAATAATTGTGTCAAAGGGTCCTTGCAATTACAGACTTTCCCCAGAGACGCCCCTCCACTTTGCTGTCTAGTGTAGAGGCGTGACATCCGCCCCTTTCTTCTGGTGACTTTCAAACTTAAACTAAATTAAAGTCAAGACGAAAAAGCCAAGCAAGGGTTAAGTGGGAAGAGAGGGAGAAACAAAGTTTTGAGTCTGGAAAACAAAGAGTAAAGGAGAAGTTCAAATTACAAAATGCAACAAAGAAGACGCCGAGGGAGGGAAAGACTGAAAAGTATTTGCTAAATAAAAGTGAAACTTGTAAGAAATTAAAAGACAAAATAAAATAAAAAGAAAGAGCAGCCTCAAAACGGCAAATTTGTGGGGAGGAAAAAAAGTGTGGGAAAAAAGATAAACAAAAAAAAAACAAAGACTGCTTTGACAACGGGAATTACAGTATTACCATAAAATGTGAACTTTCTTATAAAAATTTCGCACTAAAATTACTGTCAATTGAGAAATTTTATAAATTATTATAAATTACTTATAAAATTGTAATTTTTTAAATATAAAAACAATTTAAAATGAATATGAACATAAATAAACAAGCAAGCAAATAAAAACTGTTTTACTTACATTGTATTAGGAAACTATTTCTTCAACTTTTCTGTAACAATCAAACCCATTTGAAATACATGGCATGCAAATGACTTTTTACCACCTTTTCATTTCTCCACGTCAACCCAAATTTCTAATTACCTAAAAAAAAAAAAAATTTTGCCATTATCCATTTGTCTGCCTTGCCCACTTCCTTAGATGCCACGCCCTGTTATTCGATCCCATCCTATCTTTTCCTTTCTGGCCAATTTATTTCAGTCACACTCCCACATAAACAGTGGCGGCCAAAATACTAATATAAGTTTGCAATTAGACGCATTTATAGTATTACTTTAAAAAATTAGAGAAATTAAATTGTTTGATAGTATTTATCAGTCTGTATAAAATGTCAAAAAGTTCAACCAATATTTAGTATATTCCAAAGTGTTTTTTAAAGGATTTCGTTTAAAGCTATTAAGTTCCCGTGTACCGCAATCATGAATTTTTTTTTTAGATGGTTTCCCTTTACCGAACTTATAGTGTTAACACCATTGTTTGGTTACCGACTGCTCACGTAAGAAGACAGAAACCGTTTAATAATCAGGTGTGGAAGAGGTCCTTGTCCAAGTGTTTGCTCATCGCGTTTAAGCTGACCTAATTCCCTCCGAAAAAGCTAAAATCGTTTATTTACACAACCAAATTTCCATTAGGTTAATGCTATTTGAGGTTTACTCGGCCAGAAAATCGTCAATGCAAACAAAGGTTCACTCAAAGCGAAGTCGAATATGTTTTAAGACTATGAATTGGTTTTAAACTCTATTTCAGGGTATAAGACAAATCGAAGCGGATTACATTACACATAATTAAGATTTTCTCACACCGCTCTCTCAAATGCCGAGTTCTTTGAAGAAATTTGGTCTGCTTTAATTTATTTAATACATCTTTATTTAACTTTTAATGAATTTCTTAACTGAAGGAAAATGCATACACAAGTGCATTTTTTTAAACATTAAATGTTTATTTTTATTTTATGTAAAAGTTTTTTATGTTATAATTATGAATTTCTTTTATTTCTATACAATATGTTTATTTTGTAGGACAACAATAAATTTTATAATAAACTAAAGGATATGAACATGTCAGAGCGTGATAATTTGAAATACATTGCTTTAAACACTACCATCATGAATTTTCTTTCTCCCTTTTTCACTCTGACCCAACTAGTATATGTGATTACGCCAGACCACCTGTCTCGCTTTGCCTTTCCCAAGCCTAGATTCTCTCCCGTATTTCGATCATCTCATCTCTCGCTTGGGCTTTTGACCTTGAAGCCACACTCTTGCCGATTTTGGCTCCCACGTTCTCTCTGGAAACCACTGGAAGATTGCCTTCCACCTGTCTTATTCCATTCGCCTTTCCGATTTCTCGTTCATTTGTCCATCGACGATTGCTGGGAAAGGAAGTGCGAGGAAGAAGGAGAGGCGAAGGCGCTGCGATTATATAATTAATATATAGCTTTTTTAATTAGTCACGTTGAGTTCCGAGTGCCGTGTTAAGTGGAAGTATTTATTTAGGCCCTTAATTTAATCAATCCGACCTCGAATGTCCGTGTGCGTTAACAGTAAACGTGAAGCGTATTGGTATTGGTAATTGGCTGCCGCTAAATTAAAAGTTTCAAGTTTTCCCGTTCATTATTCGCGTCGACAGTGTAAATATTAATTTTGAGATCACAAATATGTTTAGCAGTCGCGCTTCGTTTTTGGCCAACCGCCGCATGATTTTTGATTTTTCGGAGAAGAACAACGATATCTACCTAGAGTAAGTTTTTATGTGGGTGTGTGATAACTGTAAATGTTAGAGTGGGCACTCAGTGAAAAGGATCTTCTGCAACTTAATAAAGCTTAGCTAACGAAGAAATCTAAAATGCAATTTCTTGTATAATAAAAAATACTTAGTTGTCTAACTACCTAAAAATGATTTAATTCTTTACGTAAATATAACATATGTATTTTTAAATATTAGTACAATTTGCCTAAAAATCGACGTAAAAAAATGCACATTCTTATTAAATAATATAAAATAAAGACATTTCTTGTTATCCATTTCATATTAAATCATAATGATTAGTTTTAAGTTTATGGTTAATAAGTTTGTACCGTATGCATTTTCCCTTAGAATACTGTATTAATCTTCCCAATCTGTCCTTCATCTTTCTTTCGCAGTGCTTTTGGTATGAGCGATAAGAGCAGCAGTGCAACAAATAGCCTGCCAAATAGTCCAATACACAGCAACAACAACAATCCTTCGCTGCTGAATAACAACAACAACGGCAGCAACAACAATAACGGCGGCAACAACAATCCGAGCTTGGGGAACAGCAACAATTCGTTGGTAACCGTGGGCAGTAACGGTATAATGTCCGCAGCAGGATTGATAAACAACAACAATAATCCGTGCAGCGCCAACCGAAATGTCGTAGCGATGGTCGATGATGATGCATGCTTCCGTTTGGATACGGATGCCACGGTGACTTACGGCGAAAAGGAACCGGATCCGGACAACATCAAGATGTTCGTGGGCCAGGTGCCCAAGTCGATGGACGAGTCGCAACTCCGCGAAATGTTCGAGGAATACGGCGCGGTGCACTCGATCAACGTGCTGAGGGACAAGGCTACCGGAATAAGCAAGGGTGAGTCTTGATCATATCATAAAACTAGTATTCTATTAGTTTATTAGATGCCATTATTGAGTCCAAAATTTAGTGCGGAAATGCATTTTATCCAACAATATTTTAAAACTACGAATACAAAATTTAAACAGAAAAGTTTAACAAATTATTTATTTGTTCAATGAATAATTTTTTTTACAAATATTTATTTAAAAACTTAATGCTTAATTAGACAGAACTCCCAATATTCGAGTACATTTTTAACTTCAAGTTTGCGAAATTTAAATTTCATTAATTTTAAGCTGTGAGTCAAAAAACTTTGCTCAAAACTTTCAATAAAACATTGAAAATACTTCGGATAAGGGGTTTTGTATTTGGCTTGACTATTGAAATATATTTGTATTTCTAAAAAAATGGGTGTCACTGTTAACATGGAATGACTCAATATCAACTATTTTGACCTCATTAATATCTAATTTTATGGTAGCGATTGAAATCGATCTAAACTTTTCGTAATACTTATTTATTTTTATAAAACATTTTCTAAAGAAATGTATTGCTTAAAGTTCAGCTAAAACGTTCCTATTTTTAAAGATTTGCTGCCTTCTGCCCTTTATTCATTTCTTTTGTCTGGCTGATAAATTACCCCCGAATTTGTTGCGGTAAATAGCCAAAAGCTCCGCCAAAATTCTTCCCCTTCATGGAAATGAGAGAAGTGCAGACAAAATTAATATGAGATATTGGTCTAGCCAGAACACAAATATACGAACGTCATACATCCAGTGCACACATATCTTTCTATGTCTCCTTCTCACCCTTTTAATTGCATTCACTTGCAATTGCCATTTCATTTCATCAGCAAATTGCTTTTTGTTCGCTATTTGTGTTTGAGCAGAAATTTCAATAGCCTTGAGCTTTGCTAATGGAGATTGGGACGAAAGTTGGGGGTGGGCTGGAATCTGTTAAATTAAATAATACAATTCAAAGTATTAAATTGGCTTTATTTAAGAGTTCAAGGCTTGCTTTAAACCATTATTTTATTGAAGTCAATGAATAAATTGTAAAACTTTAACCTGAATCAGAAACTAGATAAGAAAATATTAGCTTTAACAATAATTTTTAAAGTTCTCGTAAAACATAGAATAATTATATAAAAATTATTACATTGCCTTGCAATATTTTCAATAAATTGGCTTTAAACTAAATATCCTAAGAAAAGTAAAATAAAAGCTTAAGTAATTTTAATATGATAAGCGTACCTGCAGACAAAAGGATATTATCTTGTTCATTTTTTCCCGTCATTCGGATTTCATTACTATTGAAATCTCTGTAAATGCAGATGAAACTAAGTTTCGTCATATCCTTCGTCCTTAACTCCCTTTTCATTATTCCAATATATTCATTGTTCTGCTCACTTCTCTGCCTCTTTTTCTGAGGCCTCTCAACTGCAGTCAAGTTTCTATTTTATTGATGTGCTCTTTTTCCCCCATTCATTCATAACGACATTTCCACTTCTAATCTTTTTCATTTCCAATTGCCATTTGGCTCGGATTTTTCTATTCATATTTCTGTGAGAGATTTCATTCTTGTCTCGTTGCCATTGTGTATTTGTATATTTTGTATTTCGAAAACGTTTTGTTTATTTTGCGTCATTGTTATTCCATATCCAACTGTCTATTTAGCTTTTCCATCTGAATTTTTCCTTTTCCTAGTATTTGGACTGCCGCTGACAGGTTTCATCCTTATGTTCGTAAAAGTGGGCGTGGCATTTCAGCTCTGGTCAGTAGTGCCCGAAAAAAGGGGGCGTGGCCGGAGTGGGACAAACAGTTTTAGAAGCACTTAAGTGGCGCGTTGTGTTGATGATTTATGACAAGGAACGAAAAGTAGTCACAGCGTTTTTCACTCCCCAAGTTCTCATGTGAGAATGTTCGTTTTTATTGGTATTATTTTTGTCGCCGCCAAAGAGCTAAGAGAGACTTGTGCAAGTCACAAACACAAAATCGACACAAATTGCATTTCAAAGTTATTATTTATGTCAGCGCAAAGTAGGAAAAGTAGGCGGAACGCTTTTTCCGTGGGCGTGCCAGTGACCTACAACGAAACGTGGTAAAAGAAATAAAGTGGAAACGAATTTTCTTTCTTATTGACAATATTTATTCATGGGGTATATGGGGCTGCTCAAGAAAGTATTTTTACCCATTTATAAAATTGGGAAAAATTCAACTATTACCACTGTAATTAACTATTAATTAAATCTAATAAAAAGACTTTGTCTATAAATTAAATTTTAAAACGAAATACAGCAATTTACAATTGCACAGAGACAACCAGAAAAGAAATTTTACTTTTTTATATTAGATTAGATTTAGATTTATGATCTTAAATAAAAAGCGCCAAAGCTGATAAAAATACAATCATAACTCTTATTAAAATATTATTTAAAAAAATGATTACAAAATAATAATTAAACCAAAATCACTAGGTATGCTTTTGTAGTTGAACTACCTCCAATCTTTTTTCCTGCTTCTTATTTAAAATTTTTTTGCGAACACTATTTTCTCCTTCTGCATGATGCATTTTTGCTGGCCGCCTTTTTTTCGGTTTAAGCCAGCAAAACTTCCTGCTAACAACATTTCCATTTAGATGGCAAAATGTAACCCAGTTTTTGGTTACCAGTTGGCTAAAGAACCTCATCCATATCCTTAGACTTTTGCAACTTTTTTTGCAGCTGGCTTTTGTCTGTTGCATTTTTCGGAGTAGATTTTGTAGTTGCTGTCTCGCTTTTTCCTTTAAACCAAACAAAATGCAAAATGACACTTTTAAGTGCGATGGTTGACCTCTGAACCAGAAAGTCGTAAATAACTAAAAATAACAACAACAACACCAACAACAAAAAAGTATCAACCAAAAAAATTCCTTTTCCTTTCGGCCAAGTATTTCTGGGCTAATGCTTCTCCTTCTTCTTGCTCCCCGAAATTGTTATCCTTTTTGGGGCACTAAATTTTGTTAGCGGGCAGTTTTTCCTCCCATTTTCCCCTTAACTTTTCCGCCTCTTTTGGATTTTCTATGTTGTTGCGGGTGTTGCGGTTTTATGGTTGCTGTTTTTGTTGCTCTGCGGCCAGCAGATAAAGGTGAGAGGTGTGAAGGTTAAAGGGGAAAGTGGGTGGTAGAAAGGTGGAAACCAGAGCGGCACAAGGTTAAGCGCTTGGGTCATAATTTATTAGCGCTTGCGGTTCGGCGATAGTACGGGGAGTATTTTCGGAATACGGGATAAATGGGCGGTTGGGGGGCGTGGCGTAGGAACCGAAGCATAGCGACAAGGATTTTCTGCGGTTCCCGATTTGGATTGTTTCAGGTGAGAAAAGGTAGAAACAGGTAGCTTTTAATTCGATATTGAGTGTGCTGCAAGGGGTGAAGGGAAGGGGGTAACCTGTAAAATGGTTTGTGGGCTTTCTGGTTTGCCATTTTCAAGTTTTACGCGGCTTTTGTGGCCAACGAAACGCAGCCAACTATGATACTGTTCGGATTTATTCCGGAGAAATGTCATTAATGTGAACAATTTAATTTGAACTTAAAAGAAAGTGGACTTCCGTTGAGTGCTTTAAAAAGTGAATAGAAAGAGTTAAAGAGATGATGAAAATACCATTAATTAATTAAAATCTTTAAAATCCAATAAGCGATTTTCAAATGATTATATGTAATAAAACATTTAGCCACTTTATAAATGAGATATACGTTATTTGTTATACAGTATTTATAGTGATAATATAAATACTTAAAACAAATATCGACATTTTAAATAATGAACCAAAACCTTTTTGGCTTTGTTTTTAAAAATAATGAAAGTAAATAACTTTAAAACAATTTGTCCTGTTAATCCCTTTGATTATCTTAATAGTGATTGCTTTTATACCCTTAAGCTACTTCAGATAAATAACTCTAGCCATATTCAATTGTGAATTCACTCCACCCAAAACAAGACCATATGTCACATTTCCCCATTAAAACAGCCACGCCCATCGCACCCCAACGCATACTTTTTTAGTCGAGCCTGTGATTTATGACCGCCGCCTTATAAAAAACTAACTCGCTGACCAAACCAGAACAGTAGAAACTGAGAAAAGCAGATGAGAAATCCACCCGCAAACAAAAAAGAAAATAATATAATTCACACAGAGAGTGAGTTAGAAATCGGGGTTAAGTGGGGTTCCTTGGGGCGGAGTTAAGGGGGAAGCTTGGTCAGTTAGCAGATTTCTTTTGGGCGCTTGTTGCCTCGTCCCCGTTTTCCTTATCTTTTGGTTGCCTTGAGAACTTTATTTTGAAATGCTTTTCCTTACTCTAAGACCAGCTGTCCAATGTCTCCCCGGAAAAAAGGAAAAGTAACGCACTTATCTAACGCCTTCATCGGCCGATTCATTTTTTTTTTCGCCTTCTCCCAGGAACTTTGTGCTCTTGACATTTTTATTTAGCTGCTGCACTGAGCGTGAAAAATGCATAAAATTTCACTTAATTTTATTCCGCACCCCTTGCGTTTCCTCCGCGCAAACGGAAAAGGCGAATTTCAATTTCAAATGCAGGCAGGAGGGAGTGAGTAAATTTCACGCAGTTTGTGAATTTGGAACTGGTTCATGACTTTTAGTTGCCATAGAAGCATTGCTAAACATTTGTCACATTTCAGGTTTTTGATTTTTTTTTTAAGTTAAGAAAGGCCAATCGTAACTTACCTTCATTGCAAAATGTATAATGACATGGGTTTGTTTTAGTTGCATCCTTGATCCTGTGCTGCATTTTGGTTTCGTTTACTTCATGTGCTTTTGGTCGAAGTCAGTAAATCTGAGGGTGGCAATGTATTAGGACATTGATTTATTTAACTTCGATTAATTCGTTTCGTTGCTCGCCTCGTCCACAAACGTGTGTCCAAGGGTTTGTACTTTATGGGCGAGTGGGTGGATTTATATGCTGGGCTATATATACGTGTGTATCCTTTTTGCCGGACTTTGGCACGTCTTGTCTGGCGGCTCTCGATTTCATCTTCCTCCCACTTGCCGGGATTAAGTTATTTTTGTACAAAAACGTGACTGGGTGTCGTATTCAGCTTTATTCCTGCTGCTTTTCCTCCGATTTTCCTTGGCGTTTTCTTTATTTTTCCCTTTTTGCCATACTTGTTTTTTATCGCTTTGTTCTATTTGGTTGTGTGTGTCTTGGGTTTGATTCTAACTGCAGTTGACATGCACATAATGGGAATTGTGTGAGATTTTCTTCCTTTTCTGCGTTGTTTTGTTGCAGTTTCGGTGCCTCCTTTTCCGTTATCGTTCGATTGCTTTTCTTATCTATGGCCCAAACCCCCCCCCCATCCAAGAATCCTCGTTCGTCGACTATGTTTTATTGCATTCCAAACGGTTTCGATTTTCTTTCATTTGTTACATTTAACGGTAGTTTAATTTTAAGTGATATTTAATCTGCGCTTGCGAATTGAAATTGAAGTGAAGTTTAATTCTACATTTTCTCTCTGCTTTCTTTGGTTTTAAGTGAAACAAGATACTTAATGATGGAACAATAATAAAAGAAGAGGTGTTTGGTTCTGGATGAAATCTTTCTTTGTACTTTATATCAAATTACAATGTAATTTAAAATTTGATTAATAACAGAATGTTTAACGGTTCTTTTATTTAGCTTACATTTCATTATATACTAAGGTTAATATTTTAGAATGATATTTAAATTACTTCATATATGATTCATAAACAAGTTAAAGCAATTATTGTTGAACAAATTTTTTATTTTAAGAAACAAATTGAAATTACGAAGGAAAAAGAAGGAAGTTAAAAAGAAGTTACAAATTGTTTTAATGTTCTAAAAATAAATGAATTTTTTGCTTATTATATAAACGTAACTTTTCTGATTTTTTGAAAATAATGTTGGGTTGTGGTTCAAGGGTGCATTTTCAGTATTAAAGAATAATACCTATCCTTGTAAAATAAAGTTTTAAGATCCAAAACAAAAAAAACTTTCATGATAGAATTTTTTTCCTGTAGTTATCCAAAATTGTCTAACTATTCTTCCTTAATTTTTTCCCAATTTAAATGTTTGCACTTTAAGATATTTTGCAAATGGCAAAAACCTGCAGATCCCATAATTCACTCACACGTCGGATGTGGCGACGACTACGTCTAACCACTCTTTGCCGGATATTTAACGGCAGAAAAAGAAAAACCCGAAACGAGAAATGAAAATATTTGCAAATATGTGAAAAATGCAGAAAAATGTTGGTGGTGACATGGCAAAAAACTGCGACAGATTGAATTACCTGTGTGGGCTAAGTGGGGTGGGATTGGACCGGGTGCCACGCCCACTTTCCAACCGGCTGAGGGCGACCAACCAAAATGGCCACCACTAAATGCCGTCGATACGCTGGTGGGTAATTGCATTATGCAACTATTGCATTGCCGTATTAAGTTTTGTTGTAACCATCGCTGCCATCACACACCGCTGCCCCTGAGGTTGAGGTAGGCCCTAAATTAGGGAGGGAAATGGGGAAAATGGTGAAAAAGGCGAATGTGGGAAATGGGAGGCAGTGAAAAGTGTAGATATGTGTGTGCAGGAGCCGGAAATGGATTTAACCAAAGCTCTGGATGGGATTGTGTGAGTGTGTGTAACTTGGCCACAGATTTGGCACAAAAAGAAAGGGAATTTCGGCCACATACAAAAAAGAACCTACAAAAATTATTTTGGTGAAATGGAAATGGAATGTCATCAACAAATAGAAAAAAATAAAAGGTAGATAACATTTTTTGAGGTAGAATTTAAAGTGATATTTAAAATGTCTCTAAATTATTTCCATAACAATGTAACATAAAGCCAAAAATTATATTGTGCGTCAATGTTTTTTAAATGTTTTAAAAATAAATAAATCTACCTCTGAGTATTTTTTGGGTTTTGTTTATTGAATGATTTAAATGTACAAATATGCTCTCTATTTGTGTTTGTATTTTTTAATTTTGTCATTGGCTTTGTATAAACCATAAAAATGTTTGCAAAATACAGTTTTATGTATTAGGCATACACGAACTAATAAATTACAAATAATTAGATTTAAATGCTTTTTATATCCCACCTAAATGTAAAACTTATCCGGAATATATACGATGGCGGAGGAAGCATTTTCACGTTAATGTTGGACTTTAAGTATCACTTAATATGCTCGCCACACTTGCCTTCGACTCAAACCCTCATAAATTCAAATACCTTGGCCGCCCTTTTACCGCCCAAAAGTCGGGTTCAACCCCTTTCTTGGGCACACTCCGTCACCGGAAACTTCCACTCGATTCTCAAACGCGACACATTTGTTGGGGCCATAATGTTTAATTTAGTGCCAGGCTGTCATGTTGTTGCCACATTTCTTACTCCCCCCCGGCCACGCCCATGGCTTACTTCCTTTTCACACGTTTTCCATTTCGGAATTTTCCTTGCCCACCTCTGCTAATAATAATAATTTTCATAATTTCCCAGTGCCACCTTTTTCGACGCTTGCTCGAAAATAAACTCCAATTTAACCCCCATGCTAATCTTATGCTTCTTCCTTTATTTTCCAGGTTGCTGTTTTGTGACGTTTTATACGAGACGCGCCGCCTTGAAAGCCCAGGATGCTTTGCATAATGTTAAGACGCTGAATGGGGTAAGAAATTTTGATTTGTGTAATGATTTTATCAAGCTCAACCCTCTTAACTCCGTTAAAGGTTAATTTAAGCTTTATCCATCCACCAATAAACCCTTAATAATTTATAAAATAAGATTTTTAATTACGGAATTGCATTCAAAAATTGAATACGATATTAAAATTATTATTGATTATTTTTATTGCGTTAATTTTAAATAATAGAATATCATATTGTATGTATACTATTTTTGAATCGATAGTCATTCGATTCTAAATAGATATTACTAACTATCCAGGGAATGGTCAATCCATTGATTGATCAATAGATGGAAAAAAGTCTTCAGATATCCCAAGGATACCCACATAATGCAATGACACAATCCTTGAGCCTAAATGGGAATAACCAATAAGAAGTGAAAAAGACACGACTATCTTAGCCTTTAATTGGAAATTTCGCTGATCCGACACAAACAAGGAAAAACTCTATAAACTTATCATGAAACGCTATCATCCGCCTGACAGGACAACAGCCAGGAGGTGCGGGCTGGCGCGGCAGCATCATCGTCGTGATTCCGCTCGCCTCCTTCATTATGGCTAACTGACTCGCTGACTGACAGATTGACTGGCGTTTGGACTGACAGAGCCATGACACCGCACAAAAAAGGCAGAACGCGGGACTAAAATAAAATGCATCGCAAGGGGAAATGTTTTTGTAAAGGGTCGACAAAAAATCGTGGAACGTGAAATTCCTTCTCCTCTATTTTCCAATATATTTTTTTTCGCATCGTACATTTCCCTATAAAATGCAAGTAATTTTAAAAGTTTAGCCCTGTGTCCTGTGGCAGCTTAAAAATAAGGAAAGAAAACAAAAAAAAAGTGAAAATTGTTAGCACAAGACACGCGCCAAAATTTTTTTCAGAATTCTTTTTCCCACTTTTGAAAGGGTATGATGTAGTTGTAGATAACTTCGTAATGTATAAACAGGATATCCGAATATAAAATTAAACCGACAAAAACATCAAAACAATAAAATAAATGTTGAAAAACCCATTGCCTGCCTGTGTTTTAGCAAACTATTAAGATAGCAAGGATGTTCATGTGGTCGATCATTATACATATTATTTCTGGCGGGAAGAGAGCAAACCGCAGGCACAAAAATGTCAATTTGCACTTTGGAGCAGAAGCAGCAGCTGAAAAGCGGAAAAGCAAGCAAAGTCCTGGAAAAGTTGTCAGCACAAGTGCAAAGGGAAAAAGATAGTAGAATGGGTGGCACGGGGAGAGGTCAGAAGATAGCGAGAAACGTCAGCAAAAGCGAGCGACATTTGGCAATGTTGCTTTTTATTTTTCGGTTCCCAATTTTTTGTTTTTTTGTTCTACCCTTTTTTTTGTGTAGCGCCATCAAATAAGCATTGAATATTATTATTATTTGAAAGCCATGTGTTAGCTCCAAAAAAAAGGGTCGGGGGAAATGCGGGAAAGCTTTCTAGGGACAATGCTTATGTCATCACGTTATCGGCTTTGAAAAAGAGGAACTGACATAATTTGCATGTTGCTTCGTGGCTGCAGCTGCGATATTTATTTTAGAAAATTGCTATGGAACGTTTTGGTGCGATGACGGGTAAAGGGGCGGATAACGGGACATGTGCGTGCTGCATTTGATTCCCATCGTTGTTGTTCCTGCTTTTGGCAGTTCCACTGACAGGCTTTGACGTTAGCTTGTAATTTTCTTGCACAATTTGCGATTGTTATCGAAATGGGGAAAAGCTTTTTGAAATTCATGATGATGGCAAGGAATATTATCAATTCCTTTTCTATTAGCATTTTTAAATCTTTAATGTGGGTTATAACTTAGATTAGGAAAGTGCACATTAAAATAACTTTCACATATTATTTAAAAATAATTTGTGTAAGCAGAGCAAGAACTATAAATAAATCTTAAATTTTTCATTTGCTATGATTTTTTCTTTTTCCAATCGATTTAGTTTTACTACCTTTCTTTATCGATAACATATCGGAGGGCTGCAATTCACGAGTCACTTTTTGCTGATTAAGTGCAGACCGGCCGATAATTGCCCCAATAGAAAACAGACGTCGGCGGTATTTCAACCAATTACGTGGAGGCAGGGAAAAGCCAACCATGAGAGCTGGTTGACAAAGTGAGGAAAGGACTTCCACCTTCGGAGCTCCTTTTCCTTGTGGGGGCGTGAATGCCGCCTGTGTTTGACTGGTAATTGCTACTTCCTGCATATAAATAAATTGGCAAAATGAGAAAGGCAAGGAAGCGGAGGAGAAACAGGTTGACTTGGACTGCAATTTGTAACCAGTCGCGTTGCGTGTATTATTTACGGCCAGAAAAGACTAGGGGCTAGGAAAAGTGGTGGGTGAAAAGGAAGAAGGGAAAGGGCACACCGCCAAAGGGAAGTACAAGGACATTGCCTTCTAGCGTAGACTGTCGTCGTTTGTTCGCTGCCCGTTTTGCCAATAAATCACGCGCCATTAGCCAAGCAGTAGTTTCACGCAGAGCTGAACACGTGACACGCGTGAGGAGTTAATAAAAGTTGGTAGGGTGCTTGGTTGCAATTGTCGCTAAACTTACAACCTCTTGAAATACAATTTTAAATAGATCTTCAAATTAAAGAAAAAGTTCATTATATTTTTAATTTTTGTGGTTCAATCTGCTCAAATCGGTACCATGTTTTTCCCGAAACACGATTGCCCTTTACCAACGCTCCCATCTCTAGCTATGAAATGCAGCATGACCTCGTGCCCGTTTCGCGGCCTCTTTGAATGCGGAAGGGGGCGTGGCTGGGGACAGGGGCGAGCTTTAAGCTTGTTTTAATTAGAAGACGTTGTGAGGTGTGTGTGTGCGCGAAAAATTACATTTAAAACACGCTGCAAAGTCTAACGCATATTTTAGGATTTTTGCACATAGCGGCGAAATTTCCCCCTTTTTCGCATTTTGCCACCACCCGTGTCCTTTTTAGCGACCGCTGAATAAATGTGTTTGGCTTTTGTCAAGGATTTAGGCGGAGGCTTTGTTCCGTGTCCTGCGAGGCTCCTTTTTGCCTTTGCCTGCATTCCATTCATTATGCAGCTTAAGTGGAACGGGAGATGGGGTTTGTTACCCGATTTCCTCGTTTTACCATCCACCCTCGTGGACTGCAGTCCCTTGTCGCCATTTTTGGCGACTGCATTTTGGCCCTAAGCTCTGTAAATTAATCGCGGTCTTCTCTCTTACGGCCGGAACCACGGAGCATATTGCGCTCTAATATTTCAAATGTGATTAACACGGTCCGGAAACGGATTTGATTTTAACGAGAGAAAATGGCAGGATTAAGAAATGGATTAGACTTTTGTGCTATGAATACAAGTTTTTTGGTCTAGAAAAAATATTAGAAAAGCTTCAAAGGAAAACTTATATTGTTTGTAAATGTAGTCTAAATAGAGTTTTCTTATACATTTATTATAATAATTTTTTAAATTTTAGCTTTAGTTTTTCTTATCCAAAACTACATGATAATAAACATCAAATAAAATGTAATATCTATTAAATAGATAAATTTGAGTTCAAAAATTCAACGTTAACTTTTATAGAATTTATAAATTGTTGCTATCCTTGTGTTGTTTTACCCATTTTCTCCAAAACAAATAATTTTTCGATTTCATTTTAACTATATTTGCATTTCTTTTTTTCTCATTTTAGATGTACCATCCCATTCAAATGAAACCCGCCGATAGCGAGAATCGCAATGGTAAGTTTTTATACCTTTTCACATTCACGCAAAACACAAATTTATCCAACAAAAAATAAAAGTAGAAATAGAAAGCTATGTACCACAATGCGGTGTGTATGTGGGTGACTAAAAGTATGCCAGGCCAAAATATTTCCACCGCCAACAAACCAACAAAACTCGGCACAAAGTGACCAACGAGGCGTGAGAAATATGTGTGCGATGCTGTATCGAAAACGAAACACAAATTGAGGCTTACGGTTGCGAAATGCATCGGCTAAAAGGATATCAGAAGTATTCTGGAAATTGATTTCCGAAATTTATTTTTTTTATTTTGAGTAAATTGCTTTTTTCTGATGGATAATTTATTAAAAATGTGTTTTTAAATTTAAAATATATTTATTGGTAACCTATTTTGTGGTTGAAAAGGATACGATTATAAGTTTCCTTTTCATATGTTTTAATAAACACCTATTTTTGATATTGTTATCCGCAACTAAAACATATTAAACATCGAACTAAATGATTTTAAATCACTTCACCTTCATTGACGGAATGAATCTTTAAGCGAAATGCAACGGCATATGAAGTGAATGAGACAGTCAGGGAATCACAGAGATAGACAGTAACCGATCAGAATTTTGGTGGCAGTGGAAATTGCGTGCGAAAAACGCGGTCAGCCTAAAAGCGGCCAGTAGAATTTGACAGTTTTTATTGGCAATGGTCAACGCACGAACGATGAAAATCGGGGAAAAAGGAAAGTTGCGAAATACATGGAAATGGCGAGGTAGGGTGCGAACGAAATTTTTCCAACATTTTACGGATTTTTCATTGAACTTTTATTCGTACAGTTTGCTTCGCCGTCCCTTTGTTTCAAAGTTCGTTGTCAGCTGTCGGTCACTTGGTAGTTAATTAAAAACCATCAATTATGTGAGCCAGCAAAAAATGTTCAGCATAAAAAAAAATGTTTTCAAAAAGCTGAAAGAAAAGTTGGTGAACATATTTTAATTTATGTTAATTTCAGACAGGAAGCTTTAACCCGCCCACACTTTAGGGGCTGCTTCTTTTAATTACACCCATGATATTAATCTGCTTAAGTGACCACAAAAATGTTGACTTTTACCCCCCACGAGCAGAAAGGGCAGAAGGGAGAGAACACTGAAGAGAATGCCATTTTTAATTGGGGGACCTCTAGCGGCGTTTATTGTTAACAAGTTGTAACAAAAAATGAAAACTGAGTGCAAAAAAAGTTTCGCTGGCATTGCGAGTCTTCATGGCAGCCAATCTCCTCTCAAAACCTCCCACCATCCGCTTTTTCAGCACTGTGTGTAATTACGCTTGTACAACATGGCGTATGCTTAATAATTTTTGGCACTTTTTCCCTCTCTGTGTGTGCTTAACTAAATTTTTCTGTGTTTTTTTTTTGTAGTTGATGATGGATAAGTACTTTTAATGGTGGTGTTGAGGAACATGATAGTTTTTCACTGCAGAGAAAAGTATAATGGGAAATAACTTTATTTCACTATGTTTCAATTCAGAAAAAGTTGCTAATGTAAAAACAAGTTTAAAGCAAATAAGTTAATAATAATTTGGTTGTATAAATCTTAGAAATTACCGAAAGGCCGCAATGAATTCGTCAACCCTACTTTCATTTCAGTATTATTTTATGTCGGTTAGTCTTATATACCAAGTAGTCAACTTTACTTACGGCCAAGGAAAACTAGTTAATTTTTGTGGAATGTTTAGCTTATTTAGCTGCTTGGAAAACCCCATTTCGGGCCAAAGCCTTCCGTGGGGGCTTTTCAATTTCAGATAAGCCCTTTGGTAGCGGCCGCCCGCATTGCGCCTAAAACAAATTCGATGCAAATTCAAGTTGGACACCATCCAACATTTGCCGCATTATAGACAGGCAACGATGCCCTGGCAAACAACGAAATTGCAATTCGATTCAATATTCCAAACTAGACAGAGAGAAATGTAGCATGTTTCGTGATTTGGCACTTTAACCTCGAAAAGACAGCAACAAAATTTAAAAAAAATACCAAAGCGAAAACAACTGACAAAAAAGTTTGGCTGGGTCCCACAGCGGAAGCGATATAATAGAAAAAGATGGCAGAAATATTTTTTCCATGTTTTGTTTTTTTCTGGTTTACCGCCAGGGTTGAATAAAAGGGGGAAACTGGAGGTAGTCACAGCCTAGAAATCCAAAGAGAAAACATAGAAAAGACAGTCGTCGTCTCAACGAAACAACAAACGGAAGGTGGCAATTTAATAAAATGCTTGAGTGAGTCGTCGAGTTCTGTTTCCTGCTTGGCTCACGCTGCTTTTCTTTCCATACTCAAATTGTTCCTTTTGCAAAAGTTGTTTCGCAAAAGTGTTGCATATTTTTTGGCAGGCGGATATCGATAAAGAGGACAACCTTCTTCTTCTCTTTTGCTATTGCTAATGATATTCTACTGTAATTTATATACATAGTGTTTTAGTAAAAGGCTTAAACTTGCGTGGGAATCGAAGCAGCCGCCTTGAAAGAAATAGCACGGAATATTTATTGGTTTTATGAATACTGTTTAAAGAAATACTAATATATTAATATGTCAAAATAATAATAATTCCAATTTACAGAATCAAATTTTTGGTTTTTTAAATTAAATACCTTTAAATTGGTTTTTGAAATTAATTATTATTTTATAGAATTTTTTTAATGACTTGGCTTTAATTTAATATTTTTAAAAGCAGTCCAAAACCATAAAGAACTTTAATTTAAAATTTGCACAGATGTTCAAACCTCAAGTTTTCCTCAAAAGAGCTTCTCAAGTCAAATTTAATTTTCTAGATTAAGCAGAGTCAAACAATCAAACGAATTTATCCGTAACGATTTGTTTACCTTTGATCTTTCATCACAAATTCAATCAACGATTGCAACTCACACAAAAAAACTCAACCCACAAAAATTACTTTCTTTAAAATCCTCCTTTACCATAAATAACGAACAAATGACTTCTCATTTCCACTTAAATTGAAGCAAAGAGAAAAGAAAAATTGCATTCAAATTTTATGACACTTTGTGACTCCGGAGCTTTTCCTCTCTGACCCTGGGCTGAAAACCCTCAACGGAAAAGAAGAAAAACTCTGAAGGACATAAATATCTCAAGGAACAAGGAAAGGAGGGAAAACAAGCAGAATATTGTCTAAGGGCAAAGAAGTGCATAATAACAGCGATTTGCATTAGGTTAAGTAAAAAAAGGGTGAGAAACAAGACAACAGCAAAATGTGCAAGCAAATCAAATGAGTAAGCAAAAATGGAAAAAGGGGAAGGTGAGAAAAACTGCAACGTGGTAATCAGAGCAATTTACATGCAAGCAAACTTCAAACAGACAACGAGAAGAAGCGGGAAAATATGGAAAAAGGGCGGCAACGACTCGCGGGACAATGTCAAGTTCTGAAGGATTATGCGAAAAAGTGATGAAGGGAAGGGAAGCTACCAGGGGTTATATTAAATTCTCAAATAATCCACATTTTCCCTTTTTTTCGGTTGCAACTAAATGAACCAAAATGGAAAGGGGAAAAATGGTTGTTTAGTTCACCGAAGTGTATCTTTCCCTTCGTTTTTAAAAAGGGCAATTCATAATATGAATAATATAAATTTTAAAAATCGATATAACTATGATGACCTTATATATTGTTAGCCCGTTATAAACCAGTTATGTTAATGAGAATGATACAACGGGCCTTAATAATAATACGAAAAATATTTTCAAAATAATCATACAAACATACTCATCACTTTTCTTGACAATTTATATATATCTTCACGGTGAAGGAACAAAAGTGAGAGCAACTGAGAAATAAACATGCTCATATTTTTTCCATACAATTTTGGAGCAGCACAAAAACACGATTGCATTTGCTTGAGAGTTGAAAACCCGAAGCAGGGAATGATGGTGGGTTCTGTTGTTATTGTTGTGGAAAAGACGCGGGAACATATGAATTTTTCCTCACTGCATATGAAATCGATATGCAAATGTTGTGCGAGGTTTTCCCCGGCGTCAACAACAGCTACGGAAAAAAACAACGATGGCGGCTCCTTCATTCTGCTATGATGATGATGATGCACGTATTGTTTGCTTGTAAACATGATAAAAATTCAAATTAGCCGTAATATATGGCAAGTCAAGGATAGCACACATATATAAGTCTTCATTCTGTGGCGCTGAAATGCAAAATGTGCCAAGAAATTACGGCAAAAACTTTTGTCCGGGGTGTACGAACGAACCTTGAACAAATTACGTATTGTATTTGCATTTTTCATTCTTTGGCTGGTGTGGAAATCAATGAGTCAACAAGAAGGTGAAAGTTGAATACAAACACTATATGTGTAGATCATATCAGTAAGTGAGAAGGAACCGTCGTTGTTGTGTAAAAAAGTGAAAATTTTTCCCATTGTAAACTAGTTACATCGGTGTGCTAAAGAAATTTCATTCACCACAAATTCCTAGGTATGAAAAATATCGATTTTTTACGGTGTTTTGTCATTGTACAAACTTCAAACATTGTCATTAAATGTTTACCATAGTGCACTTGTATAGCTAATTACGGTTTTAAGCGGTTCTTTATTTAAAGAAATAAGATTTAAAGTCAAATATTTAGTCAAAAATATAAAACTCAGATGAAAATAAAACTCGATGCGTTTTGTATGAGTATAACATACAACTTGAGCATTAACTAATTCACAAAACTAAATCGACAAACCATTTACAAAGTAAAAAAAAAACCCAGAAATTTAAATTTTATTCTTGAAGTAAATTGTCAATTTAATTTAAATTGGTATACTTGGATTTTATCTTGAAGCTGTCTGTAACCACGATTTTTTCCTTATAAAATATTTAAAAACGTATTTTTTTTTAATATTTACTATACAAATTAAAATGTTCTATATGTATCCAATTCCGAACATTTTTCCACCAAAGTCATAATGCGTGTGCGTCTCTATGGTTCTCTAAGCTAATTTTTTTGTAAACAAC